TTCCTTCAAATATCAGATCTATTACAAAAGTATCTAGTTCATATACAGTATAAAATACTGAACTATTCCCTATGTAATTGCGGGAAACAAAATGTTCAGATTGTGACTCAGTATATATCGGACACTTTTCTCAAGAAATCAAGGCCTGGACGAGCATCTCTTCGAGCACAGATGCATTTATTAGGGTTTGAAAAAGCCTAAAAGTCTTTGTCCATAGGTCTGCATGTAACAATACCAGGTCACAATAGTGATTTTGCTAATACTGAAATAATTTAGAAAAAAGGTTTAAAATCACAAAGAACATCTCAAAGTAGAAACAATTCATATGAAATGGGATTCAAAATCTTCTAAGAGAAGTGTGTAGTTCAAAAAAAGGTTGACCTGACTTCAACATCTTTCTCTCTATAAAATAACATCGTCAATAAAAATTTAATAGTCTACACCTAAGTGTTTTTATTATCAATTCATTCATTCGACAATGTTGAGTTATTTCATCTGGAAGAAATTCGATCGAGTTGCTATATACATATGATAAACACTGTAAATTCTAATTTATTGTTACTTTAACAAAATTCTTAGCAGTAAATAGTAAAACACCCATAAAAGTAAATTTATTTTTTTCCTTCACTTATTGAAATATACACATTTTTAATAATCATTATTGTTCTCTCGAAAATTTCTGAAATTTTTATTTCGCTTGTTCATTTAAACAAAATAATTGATATTTGAGTGTGAGTTAATTAGAACAATTTAAAATATCTTTCTATTTTAGAGAAATATTCAGCGACTAAGTAACTGGTAGCACGAAAGTATTATAAATCGTTTAACTGAGTCAGTTATTGATTATTATCGTTATTATAATGATAAACGTCAGAAGCAACAACTTGAGTAGTATATTATCTAATTACTTTGTTTCTTCAGTAGTAAATAAGCATAATTTGACCAGCTGTAACTAAAATAACAATAAATACACAATTTTAATTTGAAATAATCTCAGCAATTAATATTTAAACAGCGTTAACATGTCTCCCGTCAATCTAATTCTAGCTTATTCAAAGAACTCATAAAAATTCTTTCAATTTCAGTTACTTGGATTATTGTACTTAAGAATTATGCACTAAATGTCTTTTACTTACTTGATGCCTAATGTCTGTCAAATTTTATCATTAAATATCAGAAAATATTCATTTATCTTTAACTGAAATGATTAGATGATGCATTATAGATGCATTATAGTATTGTCCTTACTAGTGATAATAATCCACATGAATTCAGTGTTACGTAAAAGAATTAACATTTATTCTTTGAAATTATTTTGCTGTTTATAATTGAGTGATCACTGAGTAGTGATCAATGTTGTGTACGTTTAGTTCTTCTTAATGCTGATTAAATTCTATAGATCATAATTAATTTGCTGAATAGTCTTCCAGTGAAGTGTTTGATATTTTCACATTCAAAGAGCTGAAAATACAGTCTAATCAATATGTTTAATACATATTCAAAATGATGGAAAATTTACATGTTGTAAAGTATGTAGTTATGTTATATCGTAATCGTTTTGAATCACTCGATCGGATTGTTATTATTTGCTTCTTTTTACACAAGTTCATTGAAATTAAATGACGCAATGCATAAATTTTGTCTCATACTTGTATTCATAACATTCGAAGTTTATAGTATAGACGGGACTTTATTACTATAAAACGATTAAATGTATATTACATCTTCGAAAGTAAGTGACAAAGGATATCAGGAAAGACATTTTTCTTATCTGGACTTCGTTTACTGCTTATAAGAACATCCTATTGTTAATGGAACTAATAAAAACGTGATTTCAGTACTGATTGCTTGGAACATAACAGTGTTATAGTCTGCAGTAATTTTAAAACAATAAGCATTAATCATCCTAGATTCATCCTTAGCTATTTTGTCCAAAAAAACAATATAATCACTTTGTGAATGACACATCTATTCAAACAAAACCTTTGAGTTAACAGAAATTTTTCAAATCATTTCTGAATATCAATAATTGGAACGAAAAAAGCTTGGACTTTGGAAAGAAAATATTAAATTAAATGATTTTTTTAACCCACCATCATTTGTTTATTCATTGTATAATGCTATCAATGATTGCTTCGTAATTATTTGATCATAAAACCTACTTTATTTTTAAGCGTTTTAATGATTGTGTTATTCGTCATATTTTTTCTGGTTAGCGTTTTTTTGGCAAGTTAGTTTTTTGGTCGGATGCGGTCGCCTAACCCCATGCCCAACCATCTTCCTTTATCCGGGCTTGGGACCGGCAGAAGCCCCTAAAGTTCTACTGGCGGAGTTATTCGTCATATAGGTAGTTAAATTAACTTATGAAACATACGATTTTTGTTCAGTGTGAGTAATGTAAGGAATATAAAACTTAGTTGTTGAGTACAAACAATTATTTCAATGAATCACCCTGATCATAAGCATTTGTGTACATTTTGTTCGTAGGAACTGATTAGATTTATAAGATAAGAAGAATAAGTTTCAGAAAAACTACAATTTTCATGAAATATACAAAAGCTCAGCTGATCATACCTCATTTATAATTTGTCTGTCATAACCGAATAACTGTTTGATCCTAGAATTTTAATTTCCGATGTAGGCCGTCCTAATTTGTTTCAGACAGACTCAATGCCTCAGCATCTCTTGATTTATTTTATCTTCTATTGTTTAAACTCATTGTTAAAAATTATTTACAAATATCATCAGGCCTTTTATTTATCATAATTTTAAATCAGATAAAAGTCATGAGTATTACTTGTAGCTAAATAAAAACAGTATAAGCACAGTAGAGTTGTGTTTCTAAAATTTACATCATATGTTACTGGCATGACATTATTGTTTACCTGCTTGATCATTCATTTCAAATATCGATCTTTTTATTGCTACAGGTTATTTAATATGATTGTTATCATTACTATTATTTTCATTGACAATAATTGTAAAGTTTCTTTTTCTTTATCAACTATTTTAAATTAACTTCTTTTGTTTTTTCGCAAAACATGTCTGCCCCATAGATCAATACAAATAAATAAACACTAGTATTCACGCAGATAAATTAAATGGTTGTCGAAGATCGAAAAATGCGTAAAACTTTCAGGCTTTTCAAAATGTTAAAATAATGAAAATTGTAGATTATATTCTCTATAGATTTATTAAATATTCAATTATATCTAGAAGTATTTACCAGAACAATTTTTTTGCAAAACTCACATTAAAAAATAACCAAAATGATGTATCTATCATATAATTAGTTATTCACTGGTTCATTTTCGCATTTAATTATTTTGTGGAGTGTCAATTACCCGCATCCGCCTAATCGTTACAAAAGGTATGTTAAAGAGCGAAAGATAAAAATAATATTGACATTTAAAAAATGAGAGCATAAATTGTCAGTAAGGGGTTATTGAAATTATGAATTGATCGTCGTTAGACCACTATAGAATACCTGGAGGTACCCGAAGGCCATTCAGTAACCTTCACAACTCCTTACTGAAAATCATCACGTGCAAACCAGTGACCAGCTTTGAGAGGGAACTCTTGAGGTCCCAGCTAGAATTCGTAACCAGTGAAGTTCAGTCTACATCAGGTGTTAGGCAGTACTCACTGATAAGTGGTCTTATAATATCGTGAGCTGAGTGAGATTAGACCGTTGAATATCAACTCAGTGGTCCAGATGTAAGGCGTAGGTAAACAAGACCGAAGGCTCTTGGTTAGATTCCTGCTTGCAGAGTCGTGGATACTCACAACTTAGGAGCCTCATACTAGGAGGAAACGATTATTCAGTGCTTTCAGGTTTTTAATGGTAGTTTAACCTAGATCATTACGTGATTCCAACAAAACTTAAATATGAATAAGATTGGTATGATGTATAATCAGACTGATCAAATATTGGGCTGTTATCTAGTTATCATAGTTTAACATTTAATAGATAGTGTCAAGAATGTCATTTATAAACCAAGTTTAATAAATAAACCTGAACAGTCAGTAAACAAAATTAACTAACTTAATAAAATGTGTTTGTCATGTGAATTGGGAGAATTGGACTTTCTCAGTCATATCAGTCTACTAGATGTGTTGATGGATCATTCGCAACAAATCTGAATACTGTCCTAATTTTCGCACCGATTCCATCCGTTATTAATTATAGTTACATTAGGTATTGCATTCACTTAAGTATCCATGTGTTTTGATAGTTGTTCATTTGTATAAACATATACGCAGAAAATAATCATCCTTAAAATTATATCCACTATCTTTTCTTTGTGTTATTTCATGTCTGAGATTTTAATTCATTTTCTCAAATTTGATATTCATTACCTCTTCATTGACATTTAAATCGATTTGGTATTTTGTACTTTATTTAGTAATTGCAAGGTTTGCTTAATAAGTCACATTATTGTATGAAAATCCTGAAAAATAAAAAAATAAATTTTAATTTATTAAGTTGAAAGACTGTTGCAAGAACAATTGTCATTGATATAAGTTTATTGTATGCAGTAAATTAACAGTAGTTCATTCACTTGAAGACGTTAATGTCTAGCTTTAATCAATCCAAAGTATTGCACGACCACCTACTATTATCTTTGGTGAGTAACTGCCTCATACTCGGCATGGATTGAACTTTACTGGTCAAGAGATCTCAATAGAACTCCTAGAGTTCCCTCTGAAAGCTAATCATAAATGATAGTTTAATTTTAACTGTAATGCTCAATGGATCCAAGTTAGACCATTATTTAAAACCTAGCAGCACTGAACGACCGTCTCGTCTTAGTGTGAGACTCGTCAGCAGTGTGCAGTCACGAGCCCAAAGCTTATTGTACATAAATGATCAACTGATATCAAAATTTACTGATTATTATCTTCAAATGTTGTTGAAAATCATCTTCTTAAGTTATCCATAGCCTATAACTATTATCATATGTATATATTCATTTTGATATTTTTCTCCACCTATTCAGACTTTTGATTAGAAATCCCAATTTTATGAAAATGTATAAACCACTTCAATCAGTCACTTTACCTCAAGCATTGAATTCAGATTATCTCACTAATATGGCTATACGTTATGTGAATAGTATATTATATATTGTGGAGAATTTCAATGAAGAAGAGAAATTACAAGAAACAATAAAATATTTAGCTAGTAAACATACTAATTGTGGATTGACAGTAGCTCATTTTGTGGTATGTTTATTTTATACTATTATACATTTTAGCATATTTATATGTATACAATGTCTACGTTACAGAAGTCCATTATTTTAAAGGCTAGAAACGTGTAGTCGTTTAAACATGAAATTACTTATATAGAAAAATGGTATGTGAAATGTATCACTATGGCTACATCGAGGCGAGTCTCATAGGATGCTGATATATCAACCAAGATTGACTGAATGTCAGTCGAAAATACCACCAATGAGATATTCCGAACCAATCTAAACCGAATGAAATTGTTGGTTTGACCACTGTGTAACGTATAACTTTACTACACTAGTTGACAGAAAGTCACCAGCTTCTTTTTTAATCATTTAGTCATATTTAGACAGACATTAAACCGACTGCGGTATTTTTAGCACCCTTAAAGATAAATTTATGGGGTATGACTATAAATATTAACGAAGTAGTGATAGGTTCAAATGTTAATAAAATTTTTGCTCATTTTGTCCATGGGCACACTATTTTCTCACTAAAATAATCATTCACTTGACGGTAAATCATTTCTATACTAGATTTGATTAGCTGAATTCCATAGGAATCATTTACTTTTGATCGGGTATGAATTTTTTATGATTTGAATGATTTGAAAAGCACATTTTTAAAAACCTATTTTTGATACAGAAGTAGAAAATTATAGAGAATATGAATTTTAGAATGACTTATATATAAGCTTTAGAAAGACCAGTGCAATTCTCCAACAACTGGGCTTCTGTCACAATCAGTTCTCCGTATTGTTGAACAGATAATGTAAAAATTGTATTTTTAAGACCGCAAAGCTTGTTGAAAGATATATTGGCAATCCATAAAACAGATTAAATTTAAACCACACTATCTTTTAAATGTCTGAAATATCATGAAGAACATATTAAACTTTATCTTCAGTGGATCAGGAAACCAGCAGTTGTACAATAAATAAATGGCTCAATAGGTGTGATCATTAGAGTAATAAAACAAGTATTTGCGGACAAGTATGTATCTTACAAAATGAAAATTACTTAGTCCGATTACTTTCAATTTAATTTAATCGATGTTATTGATCATAAGGTTTAAGGGTTAGTTTTATTTTAAATAAACATTTTATCTCATTATATGTCGATGCGAGACTATGTATTGGAGCGCTTGATTTTAAGAACACTCAGTTAATTGATTAATTTTGATACTATAATTTCACCTTAAATATATTGATGTTTTCATGCACACCTTTTTTTTCTTTTTTTTACAATCAACTGAAAAAAATGATCAAATCGTTATTCACAACTACTTCTATTATTCCCGGGTGAATTATGGCATAAATTCAATTTAGTCCGTTCTGCCTATATTCATTGATACAATTGTATCATATTTGAAGATTGACGATAATAAAGAGAGCATGCAATTTATACTGTCCACAGTATTTCCAATGATTGGGAAACGCCTTTAATTTCTATTAAGATTTTTTATTTTAAAAAAAATGTGTAATAATCATGATAAATAAAAAAGATAATCATCTACATTTTATTTCCTCGTTTTCCAGTTCATTTGAAAAGATTGTTAATAAACAACATAAGCAACGTCTAATTAAAGTTTTAATTAAATTTCTGTTGCATACATATATCATTCAATACAGACAAGATACGTTAGCTAAGATAAAAGTAACAAGTTTTAAACTTAGAAAGATTAGAATACTTCCAATACTACATCACTGACTCTCGTTTCTTTAGCGATGTTAGCATATATATATATATATATATATATATATATATATATATATATATATGTCTTGACTGACTAGGTTAAGCCAGGTTTTGCTTTGCGCGTTTGCTTCTTGAAAAAATAAATTCCTCATTACTATATGGGAAAAAACTGTAGATAATAAGTGACGGTTATGATTTCAGAAATAATCTATTTAACGGTATTTTTCTCTCTGGTAACACTTATCATAAATTAATATTCAATATTATTATTTATTTATAGTGCGAAACTGATAAGACAATATATAAGCATTCGAATTTCTTGATCATCGTAATTTACTCCATTACTCGATGTTTGATTTTTCCCACATATAAAGTGACGATAATCGAAACAGAAAGAACCCGGACCTGATCAGTATAATTCTTAATTAACAATAACAATACGTTATACGAATTTAGATATCTCAATTAATTCAAAAAATCAGTGTATAGTGAGCAAGTTTCTTGTCACAGCACATGACTGATTTACGGAACATAGAAATGTTCATTACTTTTGTGAAACTCAGTGAAGAAAAACACATACATAATACTTACCTACTTACTTACTTACATACGCCTGTCATATCTAATGGAGCATAAGCCGCCCACCAGTTTTCTCCAACCAACTCTGTCCTGGGCTTTCCTTTCCAGTCCTGTCCAATTTTTGTTCAGTCTTCTTATATCTTTCTCGATTTCTCGGCATAATGTGTTCCTTGGCCGTCATCTTCTCCTTTGACCTTGACAGTCCAAGTGAGAGCTAGTCTTGTGACGCAGCTGGGTGATTTTCGCAGTGTATGTCCTATCCACTTCCACCGCTTCTTCCTGATTTCCTCCTCCACTGGAATCTGGTTTGTTCTCCCCCACAGTACGTTGTTACTGATGGTGTCTGGCTAACGAATCAGAAGTATTTTGCAAAGACAACTGTTCATAAATACTTGTATCTCGTGGATGATGACTTCGGTAGTTTTTCAAGATTACGCTCCATACAGTAGAACTGTCTTTACATTAGTATTGAAAATTTTGACTTTGGTGTTGGTTGATAATTGCTATCAGTTCCATATGTTGTTCAGTTGTAGAAATACAGCCTTTGCTTTTCCGATTCGCGCCACCATATCTGCATCCGATTCACCTTGATTGTGGGTGATGCTGCCAAGATATGTTAAGGTTTTAACGTCTTCCAGGGTATCTCCATCAAAATTGATTTGGTTTGCGCATTTCGCGTTGTATCAGACACGTCACAGTGTCGAATAAGACTCCATAGTTTTTTCCTTTCCACACTATCAAATGCTTTCTCGTAGTCAATGAAGTTGATTTGGAGTGGTGAGTTCCATTCAACTGATTGTTACACAATGATCCGTAATGTTGCAATTTGGTTGGTACACGATCGATCCTTACGAAATCCAGCCTGTCGATCTCGAAGTTGAGCGTCTACGAAGTCCTTCATCATGTTTAACAATACCCTGTTGAAGACTTTGCCTGGTATTGAGAGAAGAGTGGTGCCTGTGTAGTTCTCACGCTTGCTGAGATCGCCTTTCTTTGGTATTTTGGTCAGGTATGCTTCCTTCCAGTGTGTTGGTACTTGTTCTTCATCCCAAATCTTGTTGAACAGAATGTGGAGTATTTTTGCAGTTGCTTCCACATCTGCTTTCATTGCCTCTGCTGGAATGTTGTCTGGTCCTGCTGATTCGCCTCTCTTGATTTGTCTGATGGCCATGCTGATCTCTTCAATTGTTGTTGAGCCAAAATTGATTGAGAGGTCGGTGGATGCTGCTGTAGAACGGTTATAAGTTTTCAACTATGTTCGCATAAGAATTATTGGGAAAACAATAACGAAGAGCAGTTTAAAGACTTAGCATAGATGGCTGAGGCGAATTTAAAGAAAACACTAGATTTGGACGTCTAATTGCCAAAGTCAACTTCAATAACTCTAAAAATAATAATTATTGTGCATATTGCTTATTTAACAAAAGTTATTTAATTTTATTGCTGGCAAAAAATGTATCGACACTAACAAGTCAACATACCTGAAGGGAAAAGCAACATTCTCTGATTAACACAATCTGTGCCAACCAAATCACTGTTGATGGAGATGCTGAAACACATTACGCCGGGAACTCGAGAAAGACATTAGAAGACTGAAAAAATTGGACAGAACAGGAAAGGAAAGTCCAGGACTGAGTAGGTTGGAGATCATTGGTTGGCGACCTGTGTTGCATTGAGGGTTCCAGGTGCAAGTAATTAATTATACCACAAAGGTGCCTCTCCCTTTAGTCAGTTTGAATCCTTCCATACATAGTCTGAACACTGTGGTCATTTAGGACCTCGATATCCTCGATTTGTTAAGTAAGCCCCCAGATTACTCAAGGAACTAGCAAATTTCTTGCAAATCCCTCTGCCAGGCGTTTCAACAAATCTTTTAAACTAAAGTAGTTTATCAAAAGACTGGAAGAACACCCTGGTAGATCCTGTCTACAAACGAGCTAAGAGGCATAAATCCGTGTACTTTACTCGAGTGGTCGCCAAAAGTTTAGAAAAGATCGTTCGTAAAGAGCTGTTTAGGTAACCAGAGAAGTAAGTCAGATTTAAAAAATACTATTACGTCTTATAAACCAGGTAATAGCCCGTAAAAGTTGGTGCTGTCTGAAAAAGATCAGAAGCTACCCGTAGATGTGGCAGCAATGACTGGAGAAATTTTTCTGACAAAGTCCATCAAGACCTGCTTTTATCTACGTTAAGTGATATCGAGAGCGAGCGCAACTTATGTGGTTCAGTGATTTCCTGGTGATGCCAACAATAATGAGGGGATGGTGGAGAAAATTTTTAGATCAGGTGGATGATTAGGGAATAACTCCAAGTTGTCTAGGTGAAAAACTATACTTAGCCGGGTGCATCGAGGTACAGTCGTTCCTTCTGTAGGAAAATAACCAAGTCTCCTATTTCCATCGGTTTTGTTACATAACGACGATATCAAGATATGGACAAAAGTTCGCAGACTCAAAATGACCTAAGAAAATTATCCAAATCTTTCTGAATCTGGCAGCATCAGATAAACGCTCCCAAGTGCTTTAGGGTGCATATTGGTCACCAACATACAGATGACCAGACGGTCATTAATAACGAGTTATATGTTATTCCGACACAAAGTCCTAGGTGTTGTCATTTGCCAAGACATGGAAACCAGTGCACACTGCCGTGCAATATCTGCCAAACGTTTTAGAACCTTACGGTATATAAGTGGTACTATTAGTCATCTCGATGCTAAAACGTGTTTTACTTTGTGTACAGTATTCGTCTGTCCTAAAACTGAATGATGCATACAAGCAGTCAGCCCGTACCTGATAATAGTGAGGTGTTTGAAACTGTCGTGGAATCGCAAAGCTGCAGTATGAAGAAAGACAGGTTAAATGAAACATAATGAATTGATCAGTTTTTAAATTATCTAAAGATAAATTCGAATCTGACATGCTCTTAGTTCTCTTACCTTCTAAAGCAGAGAATGTACGTGAACAAGCGTAGAACAAACTAATTGTCAAAAGACCACAGCATTTCCCACTGAGTAGCCAACCATTGGAGCTCGTTACTCCAAAGTGTGATTGAAGCCGTATCTACCGCCGCATTCAAGAAGAAGCTGAATCAAGTGAGAGATAAAAATTGCAAAGATTAACATAGGCCACACAGCCTCCTGTCTCCTTCAAACTGAAACTAATAATTCTGATTTTTAGAACCGTAGGTCAAGAAAGCGTACATCGTTGATTTGGAAGATACAATAAAATTGGATGATTTGGTGTCAAACATATCATTTATAGTATTACAAGATATAACTAACTTTTGCGAATTTTTATGATATTGAATACTATGGGAAATCCGATAATATAGGTGTAATCGTGTTGTAGTCACTAGGCAAGATGTAAGAAATGTGGATCTGTTTTCTTAATAATGCAGGACGATCAAGAAATGGAAGAAGAATGCTGCCTATGTATAATGAACTACCGAACAACTATAAGCGTACCGAAAAAGCAAGAATCGAGCGCAAAAAAATCAATTCGTTTACATTAGCTCCTGAAAGAGACATTGGATATTGAACTTGCAGAGTGACGTACGAGGTTAGTTTGTAAATAAACTTTCCTTTTTGTACTTACGCGAAGCAATTCACTTTTAAATAAAAAAACTCTGTCGGAGGCCCTTCATTGTTCTCCTTTTTGTGAAATTCCTGATTAACTTCACATGTTGTGGTTTCAGGTCTTCTCTGTTTTTAAATAAACTACGATGACTAGTGACACGATGTTCAACGAGCTGAAGTCAAAGTATCAAGGTCAAGCAAGGGTCGCTGTCGTATTGCGAAATTTTTGATGATTTAGTTGTAACGGAGTCAAAATCACTATGTATGATGTTGCTAACTTGTCTGCTTTCTTTCTGTTTCAGGGAGATCAAACACAAATGCTTTGGAAGCTGAAGAGCAAGCCCTGAGTGCTCTAAACCTGCAAGATGACTCGTAAGACATTGGTACTACCCCCACCCTCTTCCTGTAAAGCCCCCGCGATTTTGATTTTGAAATAAAGAGTGCCGTGACAACAGCCTTGTGTTCTCTCTTGGTGTGAGGTGTCGAATTAACCCTGTGTGTTGCGATTTTAGATTTCCTCTGCCTTTCACTGGCTGCTGGTTACGCGTGTTACATAGTGACGTGCGCAAAGCGGGAGCGAAAAGTAAGCGACAAGATCAAACTTTTTTTAGTCTCAAGAAAAATGCTTTCAGGCTTTTAAGTGTGTCACAAACCCCAGCTAATTATCGAATCACTGATGCATGTTCCGAAAAAAAGTTTCAAAATGCTAACCAAGTCGTTTCATGTAATTTTGTCATCGAAGTATGTAAATAAGGGTTTTCTCTCATGAATATTTCAGAGTGTAATGCAAGTGACGATAGCTGAACTTCATTCCTACATTGGTCGTGGATGAGTCACGTTTAAATATCGAATTTACTACGTACCTTAAGATTTTGCAAATAATTGCTTCACGTGTACCTAAAGGTTCAAGAGCTTAAGTTCGTACCGATATGTTTTGCAAATTACCAAATCAATTTAAGTGATTACATCTCCATTTCTTCAAATTGTTGAAGACAAGAATGTTACTTCTTCTCATCGGGACTTTTCAATACCTTTTGTCTATTTTTCTTACAAGAACGTTTAAACACGATTATTTTGGTCAGGAACCATTTAAAAAGTAGGTTTCCATGGTTAAAATAATTGTTTCAGACTTAAAATTTTGGTGTTGTGATCGTCTAGACAGTTCAACGCCCCTCCTGCCAGCCCGCTTATTGTACCTTTTGATTCTGCATTACCGAAAACGCTCTTTTCTGCCATTCTTTCATATTTCAGACAGAATGATCAAGTTTATAGAAAATTAATTTTTAAAATACAGTTTGTAATTATTGGTTTCGATGTCTAAACAAAAGAGTTTGCTAAGACTTGTAGAGGTAGTGGTAGTAGCGCAAATGCGGAAGATTAGCAATCGAATATATATATGTATATAGAGATAAATAGACAGATTAATGACCGACCGTAGCTGCTGCCTTGACGAGGTGAACGGGCTTGCTTATCGTGATGACCCAACTGAGCTATACTGCCTGGAACATATGTTCCTGAAGGTTCTACCATGCCAGGCATGTCGTACTACTGACTACAGAGGGGTGTGACAGCGATAAGGTGTTTCCCTCGGACAACCAGCATCTGCAGCGATGCTGCCTTCTCACAACGAAGGAAGTAATTAGAAAAGCTCGACACTAAAAATGTCACACCTCACCCTACCTCACGGATTTCCGTCTCAGCGGTAAGGGTGCCCACTAATGGCTTTTAAGAGCGGAGCTAGTACTCAATTAACCTTTAACTAAAAGGCCGTGCACGACCGGCCTCAAGCAGTTGTCCCTTCGGCTCTGCGGTCACGCTCCCAGGTCGTTAAGACCAGCACTAATCTACCTTCCTTTTCAGGTCCCTCAATAAACAACCTTCCACGGTGTGGGCAGCCGGGAAGTGACAACCGCCTTCATACCCGTAACAGCACGAGTGACCAAATTGGTCAAAATCGAATCCTTCTACATCCCATATTATCTCTCTTATCTCCATGACTAACTCTTCTCACATTCCTTTATCTCCCCGCACCTCTACTGCAAATGATTCGAGTCCTCGAAACGTTATTCCTGGTCTCTTGAAGCCCAGTTCTAAACTACATGTTGGAGCATTTAATGTACGGACATTGTGTTAAATAGGGTAACATGCTTCCTTAGCTAGGACTTTACAATCTCGGTCAATCCATGTGTGCTGCATCTCGGAAACGCGCATACAGGATCCGAGTCGCGTCATACACTTGGCCACACCATGTCAAAATAAAGAAGCAGCTCGATTTACTCTTCGTGTATCCGGTAGCCCTGATGCTGCTTCCAGGGGTCTTGCTGGCGTAGGCATAGCATTGAGTCGTAGGGCAGAACAATCTCTCCTTTACTGGATCCCAATAGAAAGTCGATTGTTCGCCGTCCGACTAAGCGTGGCAGTAAGGATCCGGAAAGATAGGGACACTCGTTGCCTCTTCGTCATATCAGCCAACGCCACCCCCACCCCACTGTAAAAAATGATTTTTACAGAAAGCTTTCGAAACTCCTCGAAATAGCTAGGCGCTTCGATCTAGTAAAAATGGCTGGTGACTTGGATACTCAAGTAGGTAGACTAAGTGAGCAGGAGAGACACCTTGGTGGATGTTATGGTGTCGCGGCTTAGAGAACAGACAATGGCGACCGTGTGTTGAAGCTATGCTCATATAACTGCCTTTTTCCAGCAAGTACTAACTTTAGGCATAAGGAAAAACACCTGTTGACCTGGCGACCCTCGAAGTCTTCTCAACGTTGGACCCAACTAGATCACATTGACATCAGCCACCAATGGAGGGGTTCGATAGAAGACTGGCGTATTTGTTTGAATCTTACTGGACGTAGGAAAGACACCGCAAGTAAACCTCTTAGGGTTCTACTTAATGATAATAAGGCTAAGAATATATTCCAGGAACAACTAGAAAGACAGTTAGGCGACCATTGAAGCGATTCCCATCCGGAGGCAGGTTGGAATGATATCCAAAAGGATGTGGAAACATCAGTGATATCTACTAGCAAGTTAAACCATATGGCTAGGATGAGGCCGTGGATCTCAGTAGCATCCACCGAACTGATAGAGGCTCGAAAACGCATCCCACCTGGCTCTGAACATGATGAGGAGAGAAGTCAGATTAGATGCAGGCTGATGGAAAGCCTACGTAACGACCGTGAACAGTGGTGGGTGGCGAACGCAAAAGAGATGGAAAAGGTAGCGGTGATAGGCAACAGTAGACAACTTTTCCAACTTATCAAGGAAACTGGTATTAAGAATCCTATTGTAAGTGAGACTATCTCCAGTCATCCTGAATGCCAAATCGTCGTAAGTCCCCTCAGTCTTTGTGAAGTTGAGAAAGCGTTAGGAAATCTGAAGCAAGAGCGAGCTGCAGGTCATCATAGACTGACCACTGAGATATTTAAGGATGGTGGTCCAGTTTTAGCAGCTAGGTTGACTGAGATCTTACGTCGAATCTGGGAACTGGACGTAATCCCATCCGAGTGGTCTCAATCACTGATTGTCCCAATCTGTAAGAAAGGACACAAGTCTTCTTGTGACAATCAAAGGGGAATAAGTCTAACTAATATAGTTTCTAAATTGTTAGCCTCCATTATACTTAGACGCCTTACTAGTTCTCGTGAAGAGCAGACTAGAGAAAATCAGGCTGGTTTCAGACCTGAACGTGGTTGTATAGACCACATCTTCACACAAAGACAGGTCCTCGAACACAGGCATACATTTAGACGTCCGACAATAGTTGTGTTCCTGGATCTAAAAGCGGCATTCGACTCTGTTTATCGTGAGGTTCTGTGGCAGTGTTTGTCATTAAAAGGTGTGTAGTGAACGAGAACACACGTGGATTGTATTTAACGAAAATTACAGAGTTACTCATCAAAATCGGAAAACCATATCGTAAATCGTTAATTTGCAAAATATCAGTTCATCATATCGAACTGGACTGTTCCTGTTGCAAAACATCAACCAATTGTCACTATTCATGCGTTTCATACAAATTCCATTGTGTTTTGACTCTTCTTTTCTTGATCTTCCCCCATCTTCTGCTGCCAGACATTACGTTGACACTCACGTCATATACTACTTATAAGTAGCTCGCACCACAGGTGTACCAGAGAAGTACATTAACCTTATACAAGCTCTCTACTCGAACACCACTGGTCGAGTGAGAGCTTATGGCGAACTGTCATCGGAATTTTCTACATCAAGTGGTCTCCGTCAAGGATGTCCACTCTCTCCATTGTTGTTTAACTTTGTCGTAGACATCCTCGGATTATTCAGGGGTTAACCTGCTACCTGGAAAATCGCTTAGTGACCTATAATATGCCAATGACATTAGTTCTATTCGATGAAGACGCTGACAAAATGGAAAGTCTTCTGACCAGCCTAAGCAACAATGCAAGCATGTTTGGGATGCGGTTCTCACCCTCGAAATGCTCCAAGATTGGGTTGCATCGGCACTGGAACTGGTGATAGGGAGTGAAGTAGTCGAGCGTGTTGATCACTTCACTTATTTTGGGAGTCTCATTAGTGCTGGTGACTGACGAAATCTCAGCGCGGATACAGAAAGCTCGATTAGCCTTTGCCAATATACGCCGTTTATGGCTTATGGTATCGCGAAGAAAGGCCGTATTAAACTATTGTGATGTCTGCCCTGTTGTCCAGTGCCTAAGCAACCCAGCTATGCCTATTGCTTAGTATTCTCTGACAACAATCCACTCGATAAGTCCCCAAACCAAAACACAGTAGAACAGGAAAAGATTATATTCCAAATAGCAAGGTTAAATGGAAGTAAGAAGCCGAAGCAAAGGCGAAATAGAAACAACGTTAGTTAGTATCTTTATAGTTTTTACGTGAGAATTTTCTGAAATCTAATCCATGTGATCGACTAGCACTGATCGATTAGACTTAGCCAATCAGCGTGCAGCAAACAACGGGGATTTTTCTAGAATCCTCTCCAAGTATAGATCAGACGTTGACCGAATATGAATTAGCCAATCAGTGTGCAGCTAGATGACGGACAGATACAACACAGAACTTCGTAAGTAAGTGCATCAGTTCAGGTTGCCATAGCACATCAGTACAGAGACGTAACTGTTAGTTCAAATCCAAGAGTGATAGCGATAGTAGAATTATTAGCAACACTAGAGAAGATTGAGGAGCGAAGATATGATTCTAAAAGTATATTTCAGTAAGATAAATTTCGAAGGAAAAAGGTAGAGATTATGAGTAATGCAGAAGCTTAAAATTTCATAGAACACAAAGAGTGGATGCACCTGCGCTATTGCAAACGATTCTGAGCCATGTCGTTTAAGGTCTCTAACCATCGGTGATTATAGTCTCGCGGATCCCAACCAGGTAGCCTACATCTACCAACATGACTCAGTCCACTTGTCAATGACTTCATGGATTTCTGCCATGTTTTGGTTTGGCCGCCCCTAGCTTTCTTCCAATCTACTCCTACACCACAAAAAATAGCTCGTCGAAGCAGTCGGTGGTTAGCCATACGTAACACATGTCCCAACCACATCAACTGATGAAGTTTCACCACTTCATCTATTGATTTACCATCCCTACCTAAAACTCGTTTCCTAACGACAGCATTGATTATACGGTTGTCCAATGATACACGAGCAATGCTTCGGAGACATCGATGATCGAATACAAGTAACCTACGAAAGTCCTCTACTCTTAACGGCCACGTCTCGCATCCATACAGTAGGTCGGAGCGAACTGCTGCACAGTGCACTCGTCCTTTGGTTAGCGAACGGATAACTCGCCTGCGCCATAGGTGACGCACGTTGACAAAAGTCATTCGAGCCTTCTGTATCCGAGATGAGATTTCGTCAGTCACCAGGACATCAGCACTGATGAGACTCCCCGGGTAAGTGAAGCGGTCTACACGCTCGACTACTTCACTCCCCATCACTAGTTCAGGTGCCGAAGAAACCCAATCTTCAAGCAACATTTTGCAATTCGATGGGGAAAACCGGATCCCGAAAATGATTGCATTGTTGCTTAGGCTGGTCAGAAGACTGCATTTTGTCAGCGTCTTCACCGAATAGAACTATG